TCGTCGACGAGCCTTCTACAGGCATTGAAGGCGCAGTCATCCCTCCTGGGAAAGGCATCAGGGGCGCCTTGGGTCTCAAGGAAGGAGGTAAACATCAAATTGTGCTACCAAATTCAACAGAGTTTACGTACAATGATCAAAATTTTATTAAATATGGTATTTGTTTTGTGTTGATCAGGTCCATTGTTTGGATTCACAAAGTCAAATGAGCTGTTTGTGGGGAGATTGGCTCAGCTGGGGATTGCCTTCTCATTGATAGGAGAAATTATAACAGGGAAAGGAGCACTGGCACAGCTAAACATTGAGACAGGGATTCCTATTAGCGACATTGAACCCCTTGTGTTGCTCAACGTTGCCTTCTTCTTCTTTGCTGCTATAAATCCCGGGACTGGTAAATTTATCACTGATGAAGAAGAAGACTAGATTTTCCCTATGCAATTTGTAATTAACATCATCTACTTTCCTCTCCCTCTTTTCTCCCTAATGTCCCTTCCTTTGCATCAATGAATTGCATCGCTTTTAAACAAAAATGATCATACAATGTTGGGGGGAAATAATGAAAGATGATTTCAAATTCCAATAACCTTGAAGAATACCCCAACATAATTCCATAAACCTGGTAAAATATGATCAATTGGGTTTGAAATCCTAAGCAAAAAAGGTGGAAACTTTAAAATAGTGTGATTTATTATTGTTATTATTATTAGGGTAATATATACTAATGGTCACTGAACTTTCTAAAGCTTTCATTTGGGTCCCCCAACTTTTAAAACTTGCAATACATTCCCAGCATTTAGTCCGTTTGCAATATGGTCCCCCAACAGTTACGATGGGGACCATATTGCAAACGGACTAAATGTTGGGGACTGTATTGCAAGTTTTAAAAGTTGAGGGACCTAAATGAAAACTTTAAAAAGTTCAGTGACCATACTATACTTTACCCTTAATTTATTTAAAATTTTATTTGTAATTTTACATTTCTTCAATTTTGTCCTTAAATTTATATTTTTTTACAAAATTGATCCATGATTTTTTTTTTGTAATTTACTCGAAATCATATACAATTACAACTTGGAATTCAACAATCACGAAAGATGACAAAATAATTGATCCAAGATTAAAAACGACCCGACCTGAACTCAATTCGTATCTGGTAAACATCCGACCTTAATTTTATCTATCAATGATGTAACCCGATTTGAACGAGATCCGAATGAAGTCCACCTGAACTTGAATTAATTGGTCTTTATTGCTTTGGACCTGAACTGTTTTGACCTTAACTAACATCGATTCGAACTGAAAATAACCCGACTTGAACTTGATATGGATCTGGTGTTAATTAACCTGAAAATAACCCGAACTGATTTGACATGTACCCGACCTGATCCGAGTCAAACCATCAAATTAACTTGACTTGACATGTACCCGATTTTACCTGACCTGCCAGGATCCGACTGAAACCTGACTTATTACTTGATTTTACTGCCTTAACTGACATCTTCTTGAGTAGACAATCTACCACGATGGGCTATTGAGGTTGCCCTCTAAGAACGAGGATAAGAATGTTGTTTGGGTAAAAATTATTGAATTCTTACGTAATAAAGTTAATCACCAAAAATTTTTTAAATCATTCAAATTATAATAGAATTTAATTTAATTATTAATTAAAATTTGAATAAAATTGCAAACTAAATTATATAATACTCTAATTATATTTAGGGTAAAGTATAGTAATGGTCACTGAACTTTTCTAAAACTTTCATTTAGGTCTCCCAACTTTTAAAACTTGCAATACAATCCCCTAACATTTAGTCCTTTTGCAATTTGCAAACATACTAAATCTTAGGGGACCAAATTACAAACGGACTAAATATAAGAGATTATATTACAATTTTTAAAAGTTAGAAGACCTAAATAAAAGTTTTACAAAAATTCTGTGACCATTATTATTATCATCATCATCATTTTTCAAATTATTTTACATTTGGAATTATTAAAGGAATGCCTTGACATGCATATTAAAAGAATAATCCACCCAAATCCTCTGCAGACTATAGTAATCATTAATCAAGGACAATATCAATAATGCTTGCTCCTTAAAAAAGTCAAATGGATGGTGATCAAACCCATCTCTTTAATCATTAGCCATCGATTCTTGTAAATCTAAATTGGTCACTTTAACATGCTACTTGCTTATTCCTTCTTGACCTCTAAAATATTAAAAATAAATAAACTAAATCAGATACAACTGTACTTTAGATTGTGTATTATTTATATAATTGAACTTCGATTTTAACAATACGATAATATGGATAATCTTTCTTCACTGTGTTGATGTGGATAAAACGACGTTATTTTAGTGACGACTAATGATGCCAAAATAGTGTCATTTTAGGTATTAAATTTTAAGGGTGTATTAATTTTGCCACTAAACTTTTAAATATTTTACTATTTGACCTTGTACTTTTTTTACTGTCATCTGCAGTCAATAACTTCCTGTCATCGATTGTCTTTTGTGTCAAGATCAGTAACAAAACATTTGTGTTTCACTTATCTTTCTTATACTATATTTGATTTTCTATGAAACTCACTCCAAATAGACGAAAATCCATTTAAAAGTTTTACATGCTACTACTTTGATCTCTTCCGATGATTGTCCGATGAGACTAACTTTAAGATAGGTTGTTTACCTTCTCAAAATAATACTTCTCACCGTTTAGATTTTTGAACAAACATACAAGATTCTTAAATATGAGAAAACCGCCTAAATTCCTAAAAATGATTTTTTATTTAATTTCGTTGAATTTTGAGTGGGTTTCATTTAAAATCTATCCTATGAGGAAAAAGAGGACTGAAATGGAACATTTTGGTGTCGATCTTGTTGCGAAAGATGATCGATGACAGACGATGATTGGCTACCGACAACGGTCAGAAAAGTGTAGTGCAAAAAAAATGAAATTATTTACAAATTTAATAGCAAAACCGATACATCTCTAAAGCTAAGTGTCTAAAATTATAACATTTTAGGCATTAATAGTCGTCGTCAAAACAATATCATTTTGTCCATGTCATCACACCATTTGAATTTTAACAATATAGTGACATAATTGAGGTTAAAATCAAAGTTCGATACTATAATTGAAGAAATTAAAAGTTTAATGATACAAATGATACAACTAAAGCTCAGTCATATGTAATGTAGTTTACCCTATTAAAAATGTGAAATACGAAACACCCTAGAGGAGTGGAAAAATATTCTCTTATTTTACTAAGAGCCTTCCCTTGGCCTTAAAATTGAACTGTTAATTTCCTTACTAAGCCCTGAAAATTTAGCCTTTAACACCACCCCGATTGAGGCTAGAGCGGACAAATCTTCCTCGTCACCCAACTCAGCGCAGCGGTTATTACTAAAAGGTTGGTATTTTTTTAGCACCGTCATCCCAGTGTTGATTTTTCAGAAGGAATAATGGAGAGATCGGTTTTTGCAGCAAACGCTTGTTCCATGAAATCTTCAAATGCTTCATTAACAACAAACGCTCCATTCTCATCAACGATAAACTCAGGCGGAAATAACATCGTGCCATTGAGAAGCCTTTCGAGACGGTGACTATGAACCTTGAGAAGAATTTGCTGCTTCCGAGGAGAAAGTTCGTCTCGTCCAAGACAATGTTTACTTTCTTATTTGTAAACATGACGAACGGCGAGAACAACGGAGAGCACAGCACGTCAGGGAGCACAACAAGAAGAGACCCAGAACGTTTGGCGAAAGATACCATATTAGAAACTCAAGAAAGAACTCAAAATATTATTTTTATTTTTCAGTAAAATACACAGCTGAAGTACATTAGCTTTATAGCTTACAAGGGCTGAAAACCGTCACCTTAACAACCTAACAACCTTAGGTTTAACTCACATACAACAGAGAGCACACTATTTACGTGCACCTTAGCTCACCATGCACGTTATCTTTCAACAGTTTCATATGATATTATTGATTCTGGGTTTGTTGTTTTTTGGTTATTTATTATGGGAATTGATTGCGTTGACTATGCCTAATTGTGTTAAATAAAGTTTGTTCTTTTAACTTTTTTTGTCTCCATTGATTGTAAACCAGGGGACTGGTTTAGGTTAAGAAAGAGTTCACTATTAACTGTTAATTGGAGTACAAGGCTGAATCTTGAATGAGCTTTTGATCAGAAAAAAATCTTTATGAGAATTAAATTGATTGTAAAAGTGACCTTTTGGGGTGACAATGTAAATAGAAATCTGTTAGGTATGGCTCGTTGTGGGGTTACAAATTATGTGGGTTGCAGGTGCGGGGCGTAGCCCCGCGGTACGGTACAGGGTTAATTTTGTAATTATGTACCAGGGTTTTCTATTATAAATAGAGATGTAACATAGACCTAAAATATCATTGAATAAAACTTCTAGCGCCGCCTAGGCACCGAGGACGTAAGCACATTGCCGAACCTCGTAAAATTCTCGTGTTCTTTCGTTTTCTTTACCCGTTTTCGTCAACAAAATCTCTTGAAAATAGGAAACAATTTTTTTGGGTATACCATAAGAATATGCGTATTTGTCTTGGTTAAATTGTCTTACGGCAATTTCTGTGCAAAATATGATGCTGAACTACTGCCATTGTGAAAGCTATTGCTACAGTAATTACTCTTATCAATATTAAAATTTATGGATGGGGAAATTGGGGTATGGAATGAGCTTCTCTGTTTTTGCTTTTCTGCCTATAGTATTCTAGCTGTTACTAGCTGATGACATTTATTCTACATCTGATTTACTCCAATTTTTCATTTGTCTTGAAATATCCACTTTTGACCCCCATATCCAACACGTATTTGAACATGGGTAAATCGTATGATCTTCCAAAGATTTTGTTGAAAAGCTTAGTAAAATTTAAATGTACATGTGCCACACATATACTGGATCCGACATTCACATCTGAGTTCAAATAACCCGGGTTTTTTTTATGAAAGGGTTTATTAGGATGCCGATGGACTGAAATGATTACCTATGTTATTTTGCATTTATGGTAACTTTACCTACCCAAATCTTCAAATGCTTCATTCTCATCAACGATAAACTCAGGCGGAACTAACATTGTGTCATTGAGAAGCCTTTCGAGACGGTGACTATGAACCGTGAGAAGAACTTGCTGTTTCCAGAGGAGAAAGTTCGTCTCGTCCAAGACAATGTTTACTTTCTTATTTGTAAACATGACGAACGGCAAGAGCAATGTCTTGTGCCATGAAATCTTCAAATGCTTCATTTATGGTAACTTTACCTACCCAAATTCTCTGCCTTGCTTGAGGGTTGGTACTTGGTGGACATAGTAATAAAACACCTGAAGATTCAATTTTTATGGTTTGTTGAGTTGTAATTTGGTTTACTTAGCTTTCATAGTCACTGCAAGTTCTTAAATTGATATGGTCTGTTTGACCTAGATTATTAAAGCCGGGTTATGAACTCAAGTAGGAATGATGTTTTTCATTTACTTTTAGTTGGCTAACAGATCAAGAGCCTTATAGGATGGAAAGAGTTTTTTTTGGCTAAATAGGAATGAAGAAGTTTAGAGTTTCCTATTACTTTAGCGTATGAAATTGGAAGCTACACACTCTTACATTTGAGTAGTTGAGATTGAGAATTCTTTTTGGTACGTTTTACAACATGGCGAAGGGATGACGATACTAGAATTAGAACCTTAATCCTTGGGGTGCCAACAGAGAGCCTCAACCACTGCTTCAAGGTGTTGGTGACATTGAGAAGTGTAGTCCTAGTAGTTTATAATATAAATTTCTTTACGAAATTGCGATGAGTTCTGAGAAAGGGTCGATTAGCGGAAAATTCCCTTTAATGCATCAATTATTGCACATTACCATGCCTTCCTCGAACACTTGTTGAAATTCTAGTCTCCTTGTTTCTAGTGATGGATGGTGAATAACCCCCTGTAAAGCAACATAAGCAAATTATATATACAGTATATATAGAAAACTACAAAGCCTTTTGAGTTTCGAACACTCTTCATAGTAGTCTGTTTGAAAGTTTTTATAATCATTACGATTTTTGAAGATATAAAATGGTGGAAACAATTCTTTCTTGCAGTTGACGAGTTCTTCTAGGCGAATCACGGCAACAATTGGCTCCAAGTATGGTAAATCTATAAAGCGAGGGATTATATCATTCTTCAGTATAGATGAGAGCAGGTTTATACAAGTCGACGAGTTCCAATGCATTCCCTATTTTTCGAGGCACTCTTGGGGCTTGTTTCGCCATAGAACCAAACTACTTTGCCGAAAGTGTGAGAACCACATTGGAAATGCTTATGATGACAAAACTTCAGGCTACACCCTTGTATTAGACAAATCCGATTCTCCATCTGGTAGTGAAGCTTCTAGCTATAGAAGATATGATGTCAGAATCCGCGCCCTACAACCCTCATCGGCTCAAGAACTTGGCACCCCGCCTTTTATATGATTTAGTTGAGTGTTGTATCTCCATCACAGTCTTCCACTTGTATTATACTGAGTTTTCTAGTGGGTTGTTTCGAGTCATTCTGTCTTCTCTTTGTTGTTTTCTTGAACATGGTTTTAATATTTCATGGCAAGCGATGTACATAAAAGGAACTGAATTCTGAATGGATAGTGATTTGGGAGTGTTTGAAAGGAGTTGAGCAAAGTTTAACTGTAATAATATTAATGTAATATCTTTTTTAATTGAATTAAGTCCGAGGCATTGAATCTTTGGAATTACCTTAGATTTTTGTTGCGTTCAAACTTTTAATTAATTTTTTAATTACTAATTTATTTTAATTAAAATTTTAAACTATTAATATTTTTAGTATAATCCTTTTGTTAATCATTTGATTAAGTTTTTCAATGGTTATCGATAAAACGTGAACCTGACACCATTTGATTGTAATTATACTTTTTTTTTTCTTTTTAATTATTCTTTTATACTCTTTTTAATAAATAAATGAATTTATGCTATAATTAAATAGTTTTAGATTTATAACTGTTCAGAAATTTATTTATATTAAAACTCAAAAAAACCTTAAAATATATGAATCTAAAAAGTTAAAGTATTAAATTAAAATTTACAATTATATTTAATTATTAAAAATATATATTGATTCATTAAAATAAATAAATAAAATGGAAAAGAAATGTGACATTTGTTGTGTATAGGATAATAATTTTATAACTATATATACATGCCGTATAATAATAGATGCACATATGCGAATGCGACTGGAGAAATGTGTGGTCCAATTGCATAATTTTAATGAACAGGAACGTTACTTGGAATATCAAATCATATAGATTAGTATAGGCTTTATCCTAGCCTTTTATAACAAATAATAATCAGATTTTGATGATGTTTGGTGTTTTAATTTCTAACCCTAACCCCCTATTATAATTATAAAAGTAAAGTATAGTGATGATCACTGAATTTTTCTAAAATTTTTAGTTAGGTTCTCAAACTTTTAAAACTTGCAATACAATCCTTCAATATTTAGTCCGTTTGCAATATGGTCCCCGACGGTTACACTGTCGTTAGTACGTTTGCAATATGGTCACTAAACTTTTCAGGCGCTTACATTTAGGTCCCCCAACTTTTAAAACTTGCAACACAATCCTCAATTTCATTCTAAACCCCAAATTTCAAAATAATTCAATTATATTTTAAACCCCAAATTTTAAAATACTTTAATTTAGGGTTTAGTATGTAATTAAAGTATTTTGGAATTTTGGGTTTAGAATGTAATTGAAGTGTTTTGGAATTTTGAACATGAATTTGCTATTTGACAGTGTTTACTTCAATATAAATTTGAGGTTTGTTGCATGCACACCCAGCGGTTGCCGCACTTTGAACATGAAAAGTGCATCTATCACATTTATTGCATAAACTGTTGAAGTAAAAGTAACAAAGCCAATTTGTCTTGTTCGTAGTTGACGTATTTTGGTATGACAATCCAATAGGTTTGGATAAAACTTGAGCATGCACATCCAACGACTGCGAAAATAGTAAAGAGTTTTAGTTCATAGGACTACAACATATAGCCAAGCAATAACTAAAATAACCCAAGAATATCAATTAATAACTCATTCAAAAGGAGGACTTAATAAATAAAGGGAAAGAGATTCGGTCATAGTCACTTCAAAAGTTAAGGCGTCAAATGAGTTGTTTAAGATAGACATTAGATGTCAAATACAACATTACCAGTTGCAAATGCATTAATGGCCTGCCCTTTTAACATATAATTGCTTCTAATGCTCCATATTTAATGTTCCTCAATAGCCAAACATGATGAGAATCTAAAGCAGATAGCGAAACTAAAATCATAGGACCTCATAATTCTTGTAAATTCATGGCATGTCAGCAATAAAAGACATTGTAAAACATAGAGGACACTACAACAAACATATATATGCCAGAAATGAAGGTGCAAATGTGCTCCGAGTTGCGTGCATGCAGAATTATCTTATAAAGCTATAATTTAATACAGATTCAACTGTAAAATTCCAATACATGTAAAAAATCCAATACGTTCACGATATATCAGTCTCATAATCAACATGAACTTATTAAAAAGAATGCGAGTCACAAGACATCGAAAACCATAGGTCAGATCAATACAATTCCTAGTAAACTAGTACCAACAGTCTCTCGGATTGAGCCTGGCGATTTCACTATGTCTATACTCACAACCAATTCCCTGATTTAAAGAAAAACAAAACAATAAGATCAAAAAAATTTAGCCTATGACCCTCTTTCACTTATATTCTGATGGACTGAATATCTTTCATAAGGAGTACTAAAAGTTTTGATTAAGAAAAAGGAAAGAAAATTAGATTGTTTGGTTCAAAACTAATATTGAATATCCAGATCCTTGACATGCAGTTCCAGAAACATAAAATTTCAACAAAAAAACACACAATGCGAGTTGAAAATGGGACTCTGCGAAAGAGGAAAAGCTTACTTCGATGTTGCAATCCAGCAGTTCTTCCTCTATTTTTTCTTTGTAAAAAAAGCTGAAAGACAGAGCACTGCTTGGGTTTACAATTTTACATGGCGGAAAATTGAAAAACAAAAACCAAACGAGAGTGCATGTAAGCGAAAGAGACTGAGAGTTGAATATGTTGTTTGGGATTTCATTATATTTGATCATCTGTTGGAAAATCTTTAACCACTAGGATTAAACGAAGAAATTATTATATGTCAGTTACACAAAATAATTCCAGTTTTGTGGGCGACTTTCAACAATGATACTTACTTCATCTTAGTAGTATTTGACAACTCTGCATTTCTAACCCCATTTTTTTCTCACAAGCATTTCATCGAACATCTATGTTTCACTTGAGATGACCTGTATCTAACATTACACCTTGAATCGTTGATGGTCCCAATAGTCCCTTGGTCGAGTATTCTCTCAATGAACCCTTATTCAAGTCAACACCTCCACATAATTCAAAGTTAGATTATAATTTCTCATGCATCCCCGGCTGAAAAGTTACGCTGGAAATGAGAAGAGAAGCAAAAAAGGAAATTCGAGATTGAAAAGGAATTTGGTGTTTAGAATAAAATTAAGGATTGTGTTGCAAGTTTTAAAAGTTGGGAGACCTAAATGCAAGCGCTTGAAAAGTTCAGTGACCATATTACAAACGTACTAACGATAGTGTAACGGTCAGGGACCATATTATAAACGGACTAAATGTTGGAGGACCGTATTGCAAGTTTTAAAAGTTGAGGAACCTAAATGAAAGTTTTAGAAAAATTCAGTGACCATTACTATACTTTACCCTAATTATAATTATAAAGTGGGTCCTAAACCTGTAAGCACACAAATGTATTCATGATTGCGATTGCACACACTATTTTACAATGGCAAACATACATCAAATTCCCCAACAGCAAATCACCGTGCGTCATCAATCATTTTTCGCGATAACATCGATATCAAAACGTTTATGATTCATTTCTCTTTTTTTTAGTATTGATTTTCCATGAAACTCACTCAAAATCGACGAAATTAAACAAAAAAAATTATTATTATTAGGGGTTTGAGGCATTCTTAGATTTAAGGATTTGAGGTGTTTGTTCGAAAATCTGAACGGTTAAAAATATTAGTTCGAGAAGAAGAACAACATACCTCAAAGGGCGGCCATCGAATGAGATAAGAGTATTAGCACATCAAACTTTTAAATGAATTTTCGTTGATTTTGAGTGTGATTTATGGAAAACCAATCCCAAAAGAAGAACGATGAGTGAAATACGAACGTTTTGATATCGATCTCATTACGAAAGACAACCAGTAACAAGCAGCGATTGGATGCCAAAGACAGTCAGAAAAGTTTAGTGCCAAAATTTGATTTTTTTTGAAGTTTAGTGTAAAATTGATACATTCATAAAGTCCAGTTCCTAAAACAACATCATTTTAGACATCATCATCATAGTGCCAGAAAAGATTTGTCCATGTCATCATGTCGTTAAAATTTAATGACCAAGTGATATAATTGAAGTTAAACTAAAGTTTAATGTTATAATTGAAAAAATTGAAAGTTCATTGATATAAACGATATACTACCTAAAATTCAATGATATATGATATAATTTAACTTTTTTTAAGTTTTACAAATGAAAACAAAAGCGTTTAGAGAACTTGATCTCTTGTATAAAGATCTAATTCAGTTTAACTCTAGATATAACTGAAGATTATATAACTATCAGATATTGTAAAATCTAGTAAAAGACAGAAAAGGAAAGGAGGAAGATGCCCTGCATGGCGAGTTGTAAACTAGTGAAAAATGTTCCATATAATTTAGGGTAAATTATTTATTTGATATTTTATTTATTATTTAGTTTTTGTTTTCATCACTCAACTATTAAAAAATCATACCAAACATTATGTTTGATCAAACATATAGTTTACCTTATAATTTATGAATATTTTGGTTAGAAGTTTCAGATAAATAGGTAGTTTCAGATAAATTAATTATTATTTTTTGATAATTCTAGTATGAATATAAGATGGTATTTATTCAAAAACTTTCAATCATTTAATAACGAACACTCATACTCTACCTACGAAGTGCTCGAATACGAAACAAAAGAATATTTAGTTAGAAGTTTCATATCTCTATGAGATGTGACAAAATAATGTGCCTCTTTAAAGTACGTTTGACTTGAGAGCTTGGAAAAGAAAAATCCAGCACACGCCAATCCTAGGCCTAGCCCCCGCCAATCCTAGGCCTAGCCCCCCTTAAAATGTTAAAAAACCAAGCCGAGTCTAGCTTAGCCCTCCCTTCTTCTTGAAGCCAGAAAAATTAAAGCTGCTGCCCTTTTAGTTGTCATACCATGTTCAATGTTTTGGGTTGGGTGGATGAAAGATTCGAAAGGGTCCTCTTCCTCGCCAACACTCAACCACTACCCCCATAATGCTTTAAAGCCATTGTGGTCCTAACTGCACTGGTCCTTTGGCTGGAGATTTAGAATTTGGGACAAATTCCCCTATACTGAAGGGTGTTTCTGAACAATCAAAGGGCCCTGCAGGCAACTTTGCACCAGCTCAATGACTGGCATGTTGGCCTTGTGGCCCTTGTGAAATTATGCTACAATGTTCCTCACTTTGTGCACAAGACATGGGGACTTCAAGTATCAGTATGGAGAGAAAAAATATACAAATATTTCTTTTTGTATAAGGAATGGCCTAAACCAATCTGAAATGAGTGGCGCATTGTAAAAACAATCCTTTTACAGCTGGTTTTGTTGATCAGAAAATCAGAACAGAATAGAAGAAGCCAATGAACTTTAAGCCAAAGCTAGCACTTTAGGGTGATAAAGTATATTTTGACTCTTACCCATTTCTCAATTATATGAGAGAGCCCCAACACACAAATTGGTATGGAGGAAAAAAGCACAGCTTTAGTGTCCCTTTCTATACAAAAGCATGTCTTTATTCTTTGGTCCACTTTGTCAGAGTCCTCATCCATCCCTTCCTTCTCATCACTTTCACACCATCTACCTTGTTGCCCATGTGGCACGCATTGGCCTTGCTTGACCTCTTCCACCTTATGAGCTGGAACAAGTGGCCAATCCGCTTCCGCCACCTAAGCGAGGCTCGTGGTTTCGAATGCTCGATCACGCTCTTATTGGTCTCCTTGGTGACATCCATGCCCTTGGTCAAGGTTGGGTTCCGTGACACGTTGCAATGCTCAAGAGATACCTTAGAAATTGTTCCTTTTTCCCAAGAACCAACACCATTCTCTTCAAATTTGATTGAGATAAAGGAATCTGCAAAAGTAAAACTTGGACACTGAACGAAGGGTTTCAAAAGAAGAAAAAGTACTAAAAGAAAAATAAAAGAAAAGGAAAATGTAACAACTTTTATTATTATTTTTATAGTAAAGTGTATGTATTTTAGTACATCAGCCATATTTGTAGCTTGTCAGCTGTATACTAACAGTGAGTGCAAAACTAAAGCACTATCCCAGGGAAAAATGTAAAAGGAAAGCCAGCTTTACCAAAATTTTCCATGGAGAGGACATGATTAGCAAGAATTGACATAAATTATCTGCAGATTTGGATACATTTTAAATTGCCTTAGAAAAAATCATAGGATCTCCTAGGAATTATTAATGGCATTCATTGTTTCTAAGCAAACATACCTTCCAATTAGCATCAAATGATATTCCCATGCAAAACACACAGGGACATACATACCCAGAGAAGAAAATAGGAAAAAAGATTCTTCATTTCCAGTTTTACCAGACTTTGACCACACTTTTGTCACTACCCAAACAATATAGTTAAGGTACACATGCATGCATGTGATTCATATCATTTTTTTTCATTTTATGTTTGATTTAAGTTCCTTTTTCCTTTTGACTGATGCGAATTCAAGAACACATAAAAGAAAATAAATGGGAGTTACCTTCTTGACTGGTTGAAGAATCATGAGCATCAGAATGTTCAGATTTGCAATGGTTGAACTCAAGACGATTGAGCAGTGAACCTAAAGCAAAGATCTTGGGGAGGTTAATGGGAGGTTTCTTCAATGAAACACCTTGAATAAATCTATGGCTGCCTTTGGTTGATGATGATGAAGAGCGTTGGGCTTGCTTTGAAGCTAAGATAAGAAGCCTCTCGTTCAAGCACAAAGCACAAACCCCCATAACAACTTCTTTAGGATGGAAATAACACCTTGAATCTTCTTCTCTAAACCCATTCATCATAGTATGGGGTTTCCTACTGGTAAGAAGAAATAAAGGGAGGAAATGAAGGAAATATGAACACTCTTTGAAGAGAAACAAAAATGGAAAGAGCTTGAGTTGGTGTCGGATAGCTTATATTGTGGAGAAAGTTGAAGTTCAGAGCATCATGAGATTGGTCCCCAGTAACCCATCAGTTTGGAGTGTAGTATTAATAGGTAGGGAGTAGTAGGCTGTGGGTTTTTGGATAGCCATCCATTTAGCTAGAAGCCAATCCTTTTGAACACCTAATTTGTTAATGAAAAACATATATAAGTATGGTTTCAGAATCGGACCAATTAGCGAACCAGTCATGTTATCGGTTTATTGGTTTAATCGGTTGAAAGAACCAGACGACGTTATAATTATTTAAAAAATTAAATAAAAAACCAAAAATATTTAATAAAAAATAATTTTTTATATCACAAGTCATATTCAAAGCAAGTTATAACATATATAAGTTAAAAACCATAAAATCAAGTGAAATAAAATGATTCAAATTAACTACAACATAATATTTAAGATAAAACATATTAAATAATAAATATATTATAACTATAATTAAAAAATAAATTTGAGGCTAAAAATCATAACAAAATGATATTGTTTGGTTTAATTTTTTTTTTAAAAAAATAATCTCACATGATTAAGAAACATATAAGAGCATCTCAAAAGTCTAAAGAGTAAAAATATGAGAATAAATCAATCTGATATGACTAAGAAACATAAAAGAGCATCACTAGGCTTGAATCATATCAAATTTCAACCATGGGTTTTCTTCTTTTTCTATTTCACAAAATCACCTACTTTAATTTGATTATTAAATTTTAAATGAGTTAAAATGAGCCACTGTTCACTATTTTTTTTTATTAATTATTGATTGTGTCCGCACTAAAAATTTTATTTTTACTTTAGAATTCATCTTCAACCCAAACCCACTAAATAGTATATATTCATACGTCAGTATACAAATTCATCCTTGAATTCAAATAATATATATAACACCATCTGAAATGGAGGTTCGATGAAAAAAGAAAGAAAGAATGAACGAAATGGAGTGCATTTTTGGTTGCTGTTTCTTCCTCAAGTGAAGCAAAATCTATGCTTCATCATTACATGGGAATGATTACAACTGCAGTTAAGATGAAGTAGAAACCCTATCCCCCAAATACTAGAAACCATTTCACGTTATCATCATCACGCTTTAATCTCTGCTACAATGTTTCCTATTTTTATTTTTATTCTTTGGGTTCAAATCTAACAAAATATCGGTGGGCTTGGATTTTGGAGCTTTTTAGCCATAATCATCGTCATCACGCTTTCTTCCCATTATAAGCTGCAAAGAAAAAAGCAGGATAAGCATATGTTGATTAGAGAGCATAAAAAGCAAAATTTTCAATTGAGCAATCGAAGACCTTGTCCATTACATGCCCGAAAACTGTTTACAATTCCAACCACCACCACCACCCACCGTAAACAATCGCACAAGTTAAACCCCACCATCACCACTCATCTCCCATTATCTCCTCTAAATCAAACTTATTAACATCCTTCACTACTCGGTCGTAATCATCAATAGTCCCTTACATTGAACCCATTTCACCATTCCCGAATATTAATACGAGATTGTTTTGTATATATGAATGTTATTTCCGTAAATAAATTTTAATATGGGATAGTGTTGAAATCCGCCTTCTGAGTCAAACTATTGATCAGTGTGAACCTTTGAGATTTGACAGTAACGAATGGGTTGGATCGAAGAACTATAATATAAGTTACATATAAATCTAGATGATTCAAGTACATTTTAGGCTACTAAGTTTACAAAATCCCAAAATATACTTTTCTACTCCATGGTATTGATGAGTACAATTTTGAAACATAAAAAGGTGTTGGTACCTTGTAGGGTATCAATATTCATGGTAACGTATAAATACCTTACGTTCAAAATATGATAATTTGATACATTTGGTGCTCGAATCTTGTTTGCATCACTCCCATGACTCTTATGTCTTATGTTATAATCAAAATGTTCCCTATTACCTAATTAAGGTTTTTTTATTAGTTTGGGGTAAATATAAAGTAATATTTATTCGAAAGACTCTCAATCGTTTAACAATTAATACTCATACGCCCATGTAAATATAGTGCTTGAATCCAAGACCTTAAAGGATAACAATAATTCCATAACCACTAAGATCACTTAGTTTGTGTCCTAATTAAGGGTTAAAAATACAAGATAAATGTCTGTTAATTTGGTTTGATTATTTATTGTGATATCATCTGTCTGTTGGATCATCTAATTAAGGTGAAGGATTCGTTTTTAACCATTGCACTTGTCATAATACTATTTCGAACTTTTCATGAGAGTTAGAGAAACCAGAAACCATCACGAATACCAGACAACTTTAATCAATGAACGGTTCAAAAATTAGGCATGTGTGCTGCCAAATGGGAAGGTAATTCTCTCCACTAATGGGGAAATGCTTTCCTTTAATTTCTCACCTACTAGGGCCATGTAAGGAAATATCATGGCCAGTCAAGGGAAAATATATATATTTGTAATTCTAATAATAAATATAAAAACGGAAAATTTTGAACAAAATGAGTGTAAAATTATCAATAATACCGAATATTACAGTGAAGCGTAAATACAGTTTCATGGAAATCATCAAGAGAGTAATAAAAATAAAAAAGAAAAGAAAAACCAAATAAACAAACAAACGGAAACGCATTGCACTACCACTATAAATGTCTTTCATTGCAAATGAATGTTTTTTCAGCAAACTAAAACAATAAGAAGATCAAAGGCAATAGAAATGAAGAGTTTTTATAGCTATGAAGGATCTATTACTTCTTCCTTTCTCTTGCTATCTTCTCTTTGTTACTTCATTCCAATACTCGTTGCATCTTTTGGTGAAGTTGGTACGTTTGATCTCCTTTTCTGCTTAATTATTATTATTTCTTCATAAGACATATTGATTATGAATTCTTCTATTTTTTATTATGTCTGAATTCAAGGATGGATCGAGGAGTTTTGGGATGCAGTGACACCCTTGCAAATTGTAAATGCATATATAATTTAATTATTTTTTATTGATTATCTAATTTTGACTTCTTAAAATTTTATGTCATTAAATTTTTAATATAATTTTGAGTTTTTTTATAAAAAATTATATTTTTTATTTTAAATAAAATTCTCAAAATTACCAAAATGTGACATGTGTCACCTAACGGAATCTTTTAATGACTGTTATGCCCCGTCATCTAGAATAGTAACGTTGGAAACGTTAGATACGAAAAATTCTTTTATACACCTAGAGTTAATTTTGGGTGTAGTTTGATCGCTCATTTTTACATTAATCCTTTAAATATTGCCATTTGACTGTTTTTTAATGAATCATGATTAGGATAACGATGAGTAATATCTTTTCCCTTATATTATTGGATCTGTCCATATTTTTACAACTCATCAACAGAAAAAACCAATCAAATGAAGATAAATATCAGGCTGTTAATTGATTTCACAGTGCATTTTGGTACAAAATTAAAGGAAAAGCAGTACAATCGATACTTACTTTTTTTGTTTTGGGCAGAGAATGAAATTCCATTTACTTACACAGAAGGAAGTGGCAAGGGACCAAAGGAATGGGGCAAATTAGACCCACATTGGAAACTTTGCAACACTGGGAAACAACAGTCTCCCATTGATCTTCTCACTGGACAACCACAAGTTCTTCCTACTCTGGGGAAGTTAAAAAGGGACTATAAACCTGCTCCGGCTGTTGTCAAGAACCGAGGACACGACATCACGGTAAAATTAAGCTTCAATCCGATGATTGCTGTCGTCTTCCATGTCAATGATTCTATTATAATGTATATCTATTTTTGTTGAACAATTCTATTGACTGTCATACCTGGATTCATCATCAGATAACGTGGAAAGGAGATGCAGGGAAAATTAATATAAACGGCACTGTTTATAAACTATTTCATTGTCATTGGCATTCACCATCCGAGCACACATTCAATGGAACTAGGTATATCTCTATGTATTCTCACTTTGATATGTACAGGGATAAGATCTAATTACATAATAAAAGTTTTACATAGATTTAAGACTGTTAGAAGTTAATATCATTCGTTTATTTTCACTTATTCAATGGTCTTAAATCTATGTGAAACATATATATGTATATACCTACGCAGATATAGTTCTCATTTGATACAGTAATGTATAAACAGGTATCAGATGGAGCTCCACATAATTCATTTAAGTGCTCGTGGAGAGATAGCAGTAACTGCAATTGTTTACAAATATGGCCGACCTGATCCCTTCCTCACTAGGGTATGGTTCCCTAACAGCTTAATTCAATGCTTTTTTTTTATGAACTATGGTTGTCTCTTCCTTGTCCGTTTAACAGTCTAAACATAGATTGATCCCATATATAATGACGGAAAAAGTCTCTTATCAAGTATTTAATATTATTACATTTTTGCTTTCTTCTTGTAGCTTCTCCACCACATAAAAGCAGTGGGACATGAAGAGAAAGATTTGGGGATTATAAATCCAGGAGACATCAAGTTCGGTAGCAGAAAGTACTTCAGATACATTGGTTCACTTACAGTTCCTCCATGCACTGAGGGTGTCGTTTGGACAATTATCAACAAGGTATTTATCTTTAACAAATTTCATAACATTATGTAAACAACAAACCTCATATTATCATGTTTATATTGAAAAATTAAATAATTTCCTACTGTTTCTTGTACTAGGTGAGGACAGTTTCCAGGGATCAACTAAGGACTTTGAGAGATGTTGTTCACGATGTAAGTGTTCATTAAATCCGAATCTTAAATTGTAGTGAAAATGAGTACATTTTTTCACATCTCATCCAATAGAAATCAATGAATGTAACCAAGTTTAGTTGAATCCAAATGAAAAGATTAATGTTCTAATCAATATCGGATCTAGAAATAAAAAAAATGAAGGTATAAAATTTTAATATTATGTTTTTTCCCGGAAAATGGGAAACATTAAATTAAGTTTAGCAGTTTTCCTAAAATAGCGGGTATGCAATTGCTCTTGCTCCCCTTAGGAGCTGCATATGTCCGCTCCTGGTTCCAACACTTTCAAGGGCTTCTTCAAACTTATCTTGTTTGTTTTTTTACAGGGATTTGAAGCAAATGCAAGACCAACTCAATCATTGGAGGGAAGACCAGTTTTGTTCTATACTCCAAGAAAGAATACCGGCTCTTCTTAGACTTAAGTATATATATAATATATGATTGAAAGAGGAATTTCAATCATATGCTTATATGTCAAGTTGTTAATGTAAGTTGTGTTTAATTTGCTTTTATTACTTTGTTTCTATTGCTAAAAAAATCTATGTAATGTTTGTTTCCTGTTAATATAAAAATAAGTGTCTTGTCTATAACGTTTTTTCCAAAGTGGTACCCAAACTTTTTTCGATCAATCCATGTGTCTAACGTTACAAACGTTATCACTTTTTTTTTAAAGGTCAAACGTTATCATTTTAGGTGCCCAACCATAACGGCCGTTAAAAAAACCCTGCTATGTGACATGTGTCACGTTCTAGAAATTTTAAAATTTTATTTTTTAAAAAAAATTAAAAAAATTATTATATTAAAAAAAACTTAATTTCTCTTAAATTAAAAAAAGTCTCAAATCCCTAAAAATCTTAAATTCTTAACCCTAACTCACTGACCATGACCACCGCTGCTGATGTTGTCCTTGCCATCTCCCTACCCAAATCTCATCATTCTTAGTGTTGATTGACCATCGAGATCACGTGGGATAGTGAACAGGTGAGGCCGGTGGAGTTTCGACGGCCAAAAAGGGCGATAATCGGCGAAGGTTTAGGGCTGAAATTAGAGTTTTTAAAGTTTTAGGGGTTTTAAAAGTTTTTCAAAATTTTGAGTTTTTAAAAAAATATAATTTTAATTTTTTTATTTTAAATAAAAAATTTAAAATTATCATAACGTGACACATGTCACTTAACGGGCCTTTTTAACGGTTTTTATGAACGAGGAACCTAAAGTGGTAACGTTTATAACATTACGCACATGGATTGACAAAAAAATGTTTAGGCATCACTTAAAAAAATTATAATTTAATCACATATTTTCATATTACGCCTTCTTTTTAACACCATCAATAATGCATTTGATAATTAAAATTTTAAATTATTGCATGTATTTTTTTTACTTAAAAGTATATAGTAAAAATTATTTTTATAGAGTGTTGATTTTATAATTCACGTTCAGAATTCTTAATTCTTCTTTGGACAATATTTTTTCCCAAGATTCAAACATGTGTTTTCTTCTTGAAAACACTTGTTGGTATATGTTAAAAAATTACTTTGTTAGTTAATAAAGGTGTTTAACTGTTAATTTAATCATTCACCGAATCGAATTAGTCAAAATTTGATTAATCAATTTTTGATAATAATCTCAAGTATTATTTTGAGGCAAAATAACTCAAATATTATAGTGGAAAAACTTTCTTCACATATTGCATTCTTGAGATTATTTTCTCAAATATAGTGATTTTGTAAGTAATATGGGGAAGACGCATGGAGCAGTGGATGTCTTCTAAATGGTTGGGAAAGACACATAGAGCAGTCAACGTCTTCTGTATGATTTGAAAAAGACATGGATATGCACTTACTATGGAAACATGGGAAAAATGTCAGGTCTTCCATACTTTTTCATGAAGATGTCAGATGATTCATGTAACTTTTGGTATACACTGTAACGATCACCCTACTTAAGAAAATAAAATATGCACCATCTCTTACACGTAAATTTATTTTTTTCATCATCTAACTCGAGGAAATTTGCCCTTATTTTGATGTACTTGTTAGTGGTGAGGGAAATAAACCTAATAGATGAGATTTGCAGCACGGTTTGAAATTATTTCCTCTAATATTTGATTCTCTTTTCTTGAACTCACCATTATCATATCCATCACAAATCTTCAGCACCTGCAAACCAACATAACTAAGTGGAGCAAGTCTAGAAAATTAAATGAAGCTATAAATAAAATAACAACAAAAATAGAGTTGGGAGCTAACCTTGAAACGGAAGGTGGAAAGAAAAGATTAGAGTAAATGCCTTATTATTTTGATATATTTTGTGTATTTATAAGAATGTATGGTTAGTTGAAAACTCCATATCAACATCTGTTGTTTCCTGGGAATTATAAAAGGTTGTTGGTGTAGAAGAATAAGTTGTTTCCCATTTTGATTTTAGAGGTTACATTTCAACACTTCAATCCTCCCGAATTTGATATATGCCCATTCTCGTGTCATTGCTCAACATTGTCCTGATAGTTTGGAGAAATTTCAATGACATAATCATAAATGACCATATAATTTAATTGTTAAGGGACGAATTTATAAAATTTTAGGAGAGTATAAATTTATAAAATTTTAAGAGATGAAAATAAATTATCAAAAAAAAAATACAAAAACATATTTAAAATATGATAATTAATTTTTTTAAGAAATGACTATCTAACCGCTCTTCAATCCATCCGGACCATCCCTAAACATAATCCTCCTTTGTTTCTCAAGTCTCAAAGTCTGAACCTAATTAGTATTCTGGGAAAAAAGACTGAAGCTAGTTGTTCGGTTAGGTCATAGAAACATTGAATTTTGGTGGACTTCAAGACCAAGCAATTCAAAGCTGCTTAATAACATATACGTACACGGTTTTTAATGAATTGTTGTTATTATTATAATCAACCGGCGAAGTTAGGCTTAAGAATTATTAACCTTTTCCCCCACTCGGACTTGTTAGACTTTATAAAATTGCAGTGCAAATTGGCCTGACTGCTTCAATTTTCTTTCCATTTCTTACTCGAGTAAATTTATCTCTTCAAATATTCAAATCTTTTACTTTTTTTGACCTCTCAATTTTTCAGAACTTTATTCTGACTAATTTAAATCGAGTTGTATTGCACATCTGATTTTAGTAAGCGAGTTTTCCAACAAAATTTTTTTGCATACAAAAAATCTAAACTCAAAACCTACTTAAGTGATTTCAAACGATTTACTAATTAAAATCATATAATTCAATATAGTTTGGATTTTGGCTAGGGAAACTTTAATTGAAATTTGTATAGTCAAAATTGAAATTTAATAATAAAAAATAATATTTTTTATTTGCCCTAAAGAAGGCTAAGCATTAATAACTTGTGTACTACTCATCCACGTTTTGCTTTTATAGTTACATGTATTCCAAATCCTATCTTATTGGGCACATAAAGAGATAAAATTTTGCTTGGAAATCAATCCTACACACCACATGTGCATCATGATAGGCACGTGTATATCTTAAAGTTCGAATTTTCTTATATTAGTTGTTTATTTTATTAATAATATCCACTCTAGAATTTCATTTATATATGTTCTATATGAAAAATTTCTATCATTAATACATACGTGTCTACCCTGAAAAATATTTATGAATCCACCTCAGATACTAATCGATCACTAGTTGATGACCTATTATGTTGGTTGTTGCCCATGAAGACTGCCTCAAACTAAATTTCGCGTGTAAAATCTCTTTGGTCTTCTACATGAGAGTAGGGGAAAGGTAAGACCAGGGGTGAGTATTTGATCGAGTAGAGTCAAAATAAATTTATAGTTATTCAAGTCGAGTTGTTCGAGTTTCTATACATATTTTATAACTCGAACTTAACATGAATTTTTTCCGAGTCGAGTTATTCAAGTCGAGTTGTTCGAGTTTCTATACAAATTTAATTGTAATTATTTATAGTATTATAGTACAAATTTATTCAAAATTTTTAACTTTCTCTAACTATATATATATATTTATATTTTTTCACGTTATAATGTTATTTAATATATCACATTCAATCTAAAATTATAAAATATATTTATAATATTATATTTCAAAGAATGTATTTTGAGGATAAAAGATTAATGTGAGTATAAAATAGTAAAATAATTGATGTGAAGGAAGAATTTATAAATGATTGTAGTCAAAAGACTAAATTGAGTAAAATGAAAAGTTAAAGTATTAAATTAAAAAAAGAATATTTTTAGTAAAAAAATAAGAATTGAAGTTACATAAGTATTCTGGTAAGGGAGCATTTGGTTTAAATTTGGTAAAAACGTACTTAAAATGAATAATGATTGAAGAAATATGAAAATCATGCAAAATTGAGGGATTAAATTAAAAATAAATATTTGATATAAAAAAAGTTGAATTGAAAGTATATATGTATTCTATAATGATTTAGGAGCATGTGGTTAAAATTTTGTAAAAAATTGACTTAAAATGAAGGACAAATTGAAGGAATAGGAAATCAGAGACTAAATCGCAAATATATCAAAATAATCATCCAAATTTTTAGTTTTTTGAGTTACTCGAAATTTTGAAATTTCAATTCGACTCGAATTCATAAATCGAATTTATAAATTGAGTTGACTCGAATAACTCGAAATTGGAAAAAAATCTATTTTTTCAAGTCGAGTCGAGTTTTGCTCATTCCTAGGTATGACAAGAGAAACTTAAAAGGAAAGGGTTAACTACAATGACAGTCCCTTTTCTTTTTGGTGTATTTTATTTTAGTCATCTATTCAAAAAAGGTTATATTTTGATCACTTTCATTATTGATTCATTACATTTTTGGTCATTGACTTGTTGACTCTCATTAGTTTATTGATGTGGCATGTTGGTTAAAATTTAACTTTAACCTTGGATTTTAGATAGAATACTAATTTAACCCTGAACTTTAGATAAAATACTAATTTAGACTTTGTGCTTAAGATAAAATATCAATTTGACTCATGAATCCAATCAAAGTCTTTGCCATCGGCCACCACTCATCACCTTCGTTGGTCAGCATCAGTTGCCGTCACCCATCACCACCGACCGTCGTTGCGACAACCAATTGAGCCCAAAATTTTCAATTCACTCATTTTTAACCTCCTAACGTGAATCTAATGTATGTTTCATCGGAAAATATCTCAAATTTCACAAACCCAATCTAGAACCCTTTAAATTCCTTTAGAAATAAATCATAGCAGTAAATTTATCATTATATTCCTTTAAAAATAAGAACACATTTATTACAAAAGGGAGCGACCGTCATTGTAGTTAACCCATTTATTAAAGATTGTCATTTAGAATTAATAAGTAAACTGAAGTTTACAATTCAATTGTAACTAGTTTTTAATGCACATTCAAGTAACAAAAAGGAAAACTTTAGTCATTACGACGACTTATTCCTGCTCGCCCCAACTTTATTACAAACTCATAAACCCTTTTGGAATAAAAAAACCAACCGCTTCGGCTTCCATTGCGAGGGTTATACAAAGTGAGACCAGTCGCATGATTAGACAAAAATCCAATGGTAAGAGAATCTAGTCAAAGTAAAAAAATCCGGATCAAAGTATATTCATTGAATGGTTACGATCACCCTATGTCCTAGGAACTTCCGAGTGAAGGAACCCAGTGCAAATACAAAAAAAATGTAAATTACGCTATTTAGTCATACTATTCTCACAGTTCCATTTTAGTCACTTAACTATTTATTTCAAGTCACCCTCCGTTAAAAAATAAACGGAACTGATGACATGTCAACATAAGATAATATCATATTATTACTAATGACATGTCATCATAAGGTAATATCATGTTATTATAAAAAAAATTGACACATTAGCCATTCTGTTTAATTTTTTAACGGTAAATGACCAAAACGTAACAAAAATATAACTTTAAATATGATTTTAGAAAAAAATAATTGAATAACCAGAACTAAATAGTATAAATAGTTAAGTGACTAAACATTTAGTTTACCCAAGAAAAAAAGGGAGGGCAAAAATTAATAGAAGTTTTAGTCAAACCCCCTTCGTATTTAGAGACTAAAGAGACAAAGCGAGAGAGAAAATAGAGAGACGATGCTTTCTCTACCATTACACCCTCCCTCACATTTTCTTTGGGTCTCTCTTTTTAACTTCGATTAATTCTCCCTCATTGTCTCTCTATACATACATACATACATACATATTTATATGCGCTCACACACACATATATAACTTCGCTAATTTTTCAAGAAATTTTTTAGGTGGGATTTTGTTTTTGTTCTGTTTTGTGTTCTGAATTTTTTGATCTGGGATTTTTTTGAGAGAGAAGCAGAGGGTTGGGGGGAGAAAATGGACGGCTGGAAATTGTGGCAGTGGGATGTTTTCAGATCTCTTCTAGCAATTCTTCAGTGGTGGGGTTTTAATGTTACCGTGATTATTATGAACAAATGGATCTTTCAGGTTTGTTTCTTATTTTTTACTCTTGGGTTTACTTTATTTTCTTATATTTCAGTCTAATTATTTGACTTGTATAGAATTCTGTTTGTTTGTGTTATAAGCTTTTACTGTTTTCTGGTTCGATTAAATTTTGCTGGGGTTTGTTGATTGATTCTTGGTAATGTTTGCTAAACTGAAAATTTTCTGTTTATAGATCCTTTTCTTTGTTGGGAAAAATGGAGTTCTCTTCTCTTGTGGGATAATTTGAAGCTCAATAATTTACTAAACAATAATACTTATTATTTAAAGTTCAATTCAAAGGGGCTGCTGGGTTTGACTGGTAGAATTTAGCTGCTCAATTATATAGTATAAACAGTCTTGTTTCTTTTCCTCTTTATCAGTTCTTTATTAATTAAATTTGTTTTAAAATCTAGAAAATAGCCTGACTATGGATTTAAATTTGGTAACGTTTCTGCATATTTCAGTAATAGATCTAGCAATATAGATATACATACTCATATAATTCTCCAGTTTTTGTTAAAAAAAAAACAAGCATTTACCTGTTTTTCCTCCATTTAGGAAACCACTGTGTGAAGTTATTTAACCAACTCTTTATTTATTACCTTTTCTTTTTCTTCCGCCTACTTTTGTGCTTGTGCCGTGATCTATTGTGTGTGTGTGTGTGTATAACATGCCTCATGTATTGTTACATAATGTATACTTTGTATATGTAGTGCATGTTGATTAGTGGTGGAAAGTATTAGATGGCAGTTTAGCACTTGGTGGGATGAAACATGAACCTTCAACCTGCTGCTTGTCGTGCTCGACGAGTACTGCTTAAATAATTAACCAAATTTTGGATCGTTTTAATTGAATCTGGGAATGATGTTAATGATTCTGTGTTATCTTTCTGTTCATTCCATATTATTTACTATGACTCTAAAATTTCATATGATTAAGAAAACTTCCTAACTCTGCTTCTATCCTGATTGATGCTAACTACCAGATTATTTTTGTAACTTTCCAGTCCAACAACCAACCTGATGTGAATTCATTTCCCTTTAGATGTTTACTTTCTGTTTTTCTCTATAGGAAACATATAGCATTTTTTTTATTGAAAAGAGCATCAAATAGTTACACAGCAGATTACATTTCAATGGCGGTCTATCAAATCATGTCTCCCCTACTGGATCCCCTCGAGTCATCTTTTTAGGAAGTCAGCAACTGCATTACCTGTATGCAAGACACAACATATAGCATTTAGTAACCGCACAGATACTAGTTTTAGATTGGGATATTGGTATCATATATTGGAATTGGTTGACGATGACACTTGAAGTCAAATGTCTGATTTTCGGAGTATATGACTTGTTTTTTCAGAAATTGGATTTCAAATTTCCTCTCTCCGTATCATGTGTTCACTTTATATGCTCATCAATTGGAGCATATATGGTTATCAAAGTGCTAAAGCTTAAACCTCTAATAGTGGTTGATCCCGAAGACCTCTGGAAAAGGATATTTCCCATGTCTTTTGTGTTCTGTATCAACATAGTGTTGGGAAATGTCAGCTTACGCTACATCCCAGTCTCTTTCATGCAGACTATAAAGTCATTTACTCCTGCAACCACAGGTGAGATACCGGAATTATAAACCTAATCATCATTTTTTTCTGGGCTGTATCTTGGTATAACTCATGACTGCATGTCATCATCACATCTGATCTCTGTAGATTTTTTTACAGTTGTTCTGCAGTGGCTAGTTTGGAGAAAGTACTTTGACTGGCGAATTTGGGCCTCATTGGTTCCTATTGTTGGAGGAATTCTGCTCACATCTATGACAGAACTTAGTTTTAATATGTTTGGTTTTTGTGCTGCCTTGTTTGGATGTCTAGCTACTTCAACAAAGACTATCCTTGCGGAGTCTCTGCTGCATGGATACAAGTTTGATAGGTAATTATGGTAGTATTGGTTATTATTATTGTTCTTAAAATGGTCTGTAAATATTTGTGAAGCTTTTGGTTCAGCGTAACAATTCACGAGTTTTCTGACATTGCTCGACAACATATTTTGGACCGTACTCTTATAGCATAAATACTGTGTACTACATGGCACCTTTTGCAACCATGATCTTGGGAGTGCCGGCACTATTACTTGAAGGTAATGGGGTTATGGATTGGTTTCATACCCACCCCTCTCTACCGGCAGCCCTCATTATTTTCAGCTCGGGAGTGCTGGCTTTCTGTCTTAACTTCTCCATCTTTTATGTGATTCACTCAACTACTGCTGTCACGTTTAACGTTGCCGGGAACCTTAAGGTGAGATTCACATAAAAAAAATGCGGATAAGATATCATGTTCTCAATTCCTATGGATATGATTGTTTAGTGTCTATTTGTCCCATTATGAAGTTTCCGTAAAAGTCATCACCTGGATGTCCAATCTGCCAAATCGAGGAAGTTCTGTTGCATATAATAGCAGATTTTCCAGCTCTTAAACTCTTCAATGGTTTCCTGATTTCAAGTACAGTGTTTCATTTATTCTTATGTTTATCTTGTTCAGGTTGCTGTTGCTGTGTTGATTTCATGGCTGATATTCCAAAACCCGATTTCGGGTCTAAATGCTGTTGGTTGTGGTATCACACTTGTGGGGTGTACATTTTATGGGTATATCCGACACATGCTTTCCCAGCAACTCACCGGAACTCCTCGTACGCCACGAACACCCCGGTCACCGAGGAACAGGATGGAACTACTTCCCCTTGTAAATAATGATAAGATAGATGATAAGGTTTAATCGAAGTTGTCTTGTATTGGGTTCTTGGGGGATATAGCCTATAGGGTAATACAAAGGAATGGCATATTCTGGACATCATAGATTACTCGTAGTTTAACATGTTTCCTGTTTCTTATAAACATTAAAAACTAAAGTTCTTACATATTTATGGATAAAGTTCAAAGAAGTCATTAAATTACATCTAAATGATTTTTTTATTCTAAATTTTCTAAAATTATAAGAATATTGAATTTTATATTTTGTTATAAAATGAACACGTTAGTATTAATTGCTATTAAGGAATAAGATGATATATTAAAATTAGTATGTAATATTTCATTTGATCTCTCAGTTGTAATGTAAATAAAATTTTATTTTGATACTTTTGAATATTATTAAGTAATAATTTAAAAAATAATTTTTTAAAAAACATATGAAAATATGTAATTTATTTTAAAATTATAAATTTTGAAAAAAAAATCTTTTATCAGTCATAAAATTATGAGTAATTTGATTCTTCTGTAATTTTTTTTTGTTTCTTCACTTTTTCTTCGTTTAAATCAATTTTTTATTAAACTTGAATAACATATTTTTTTAACCATTTTAAAATTCATTTATAACTCTATTTCAACTATTCATAAAATCGTATGTAATTATATAAATCCAATCTGCAACCATATTTACCAATAGATCATTATCGAATTTACTAGTAAACCACACGAAGCATCACATGGAAATTAATAGCTATAGATTATCTAAAATGTAGCTTTCACGTACATCATGCAACACACTTCAATTATAGAAGATATAATATAATCAAATCCTCAGACAATTTGTACGTTTTCTTAGTATCGTTATCTTCAATTTACTCAATTAAAATATTATTAAGAACCAATTAACGATGTTTCAAAGCTTAAAATCTATAATTAACCAATCATGAATGCAGTCCGAATCTTTTCTGTCGATGACCAATTGATTAATTAATTCAAAACCACTAAAAATATCACTAGAAACCTTAAAACTAGTTTGAAAGCTCTTTCTTATCTCAAACATATCAATAAAAAAAATAAGATTTCTCTTCTTTAACAATGGATTTTGAAAATTAGGTCAACATGAGGAATATGTGTGTGTGTGTGTTTTAAATATATAAAAATAGATTATAAAGTCAATGTTTACAAAAAAAATGCAGAGGCTTTTCAAATGTGTTGCATAAAACAGGAGTTGAATGTGGGATATTTGTGAATAAAGTTGACATTAGTAGTAAATGTCAAGTAGTTGTAGACGCAGTTAAAGTTGTGTAATGGTATGCAATTGTAGAAGAAGGTTTAAAGAAAGAGAAAACTTCAGATAGGAGAGCAAAGGGCCACACCTCCATTAGACAAAACTCCAATGAGAAACAACCAATTACATTAACGATGATAGCCAAATCTGGTTGAGAGTAAATTATAGATTTAATTAAAGACTACGTGAGATGCTAGTATTTATTACACTAATTAATCTTTGCACTTGCCTATCTGCCTTGGGAAATCATACATATAGTTAATAAAAAAAGAAAGAAGAATTAAGCCAAGAGCCAGAAGTTCTTTTGGCATCGAGTGCTAATAAGGTAGCCACCGACGCCTTTGCTTTGCTTCCGCACCCCTATGGTTAAGCACTCTGCATTATTTATGCATTGCTCTACGAACTCCTCGGTCCTGCTGCTGCTCACACTGCCAGTATACCCCATTATTCACCATCAAAATGCTTGAGACTAACATCTCATTTCAATGAACAACAAAGTATTATTATCAAGTGTTAGAAATTTGTGAGCGAATAAAATAACTAAAATCATATCAACATAAAATAAAATACGCACAAAAAATAAGATTTAATGTGGTTGAGTCTTGTCTATCTACACTTGTCTATCTAACATGGATGAGAACAATAACCCACCAGTTTAAGAATGGAGATGGCCTTTTCTGACTCAGTACCAACACTGAAATCTCTAGCTTCTTCACTTGGTTCAATACTGTCTCCAGCTTGGGACCTTGGATAACCACTGCTTCCACTTCTACCTGAATATTAATCCCCCAATGTAAAAAGAAAAACCAAAGGTTACATTATCTTTTCATAATATATATTAACAATATAAAATTTAAGTACAAATGAAATTTTAAAGCCAGTATAATTAATAAAATAAATAAATTTCAAGATAGATATTTATCCACTCTAAATTAATCGTGAATCTGTCTCTGATTACAGTTGTTAATATTTTATGTTAAGATTAACAAATAGAAAATAATAAAAAAGAGTAGGATTAAAAGAACAAGATCTATGGCACATGGCAATGGCATCTCTCACACAAACCAAGGTAAAAGATTTGAAGAATAAAGCATCTAAAACTCATCCAACCTCATGTATACGAGAAAGCTGCCAAAGAATTACTTGAAAATTGTCTTACACGAGAAAGTTACTGCAAGTGATGAAAAGAAGATCAAATCAAGTTGGATCTATCAAACACAAAGACAAGATTACTCCCCCCCCCCCACTCCTTTCTCCCTTAAGTAACTCTATTAACTTCTAATGTTTTGGATTCATCAATCAAAGACACAAAAATGACAAATATTTAGTATGGTTTTCTTTCCAAGGAGAGAAACTGGACAAATATAAACACAATCAAACTTCAAGAGTTGGCTTGGCTGCATTACCTGGGGATTATAAGCCTTGCAAAGTGACCCAAGGGAGTTAGCAAGGTGAGTAGAACATGAAGAAGGTTTACAACTCTTTTGGCTCGGAGGAATGACATGAAGTAAAGTGAGCAAATCACCCTTGTTAGCTACATGAGTAAGTGCCCACATCATGACATGCTTGGAATGTGAGCTTTGGTCCACCACAACCATCACTCTTTTCTTCAAAACCTGCAGGCCATTGTGATCAACAACCCCATTGACATTCATGTTGAGCTCTTCTTCCATTTGAGTTAAGTTTGCCTCAAAACTACTACCAGAGTCATCCCCCTCTCCCCATCTCCGGGATGTGAATTTGCAGCCTTCTTTTCTACTCAGCTGCCTCATAAAGGAGCCTGAACTATGCATTTTTTTCAAGCACTTCACTTACCTATTTCATTTGGCCGCTAAAACTGATTAGAACTAGAAGGCCAGTTAACACGAAGGGTGAGACGAGAGAGAGTGAAGATGATGTGGGGCTTGTATCTTTAATATCGAGAGAAGAGTAGGAAGGTGTAACAGCCAACAGGGTCCAAAAATGAATTGAAAACAACATAAAGAAAACTGGGAAATGAAAGATGAGGGCAGAGAAATGTATTTATGGAAGAATGGATGAGTGTGGGGCTGACAGTGATGACGCAAAAAAAAACCAAGATATTTTTCACATTTGTTGTTGCAGGTTGAAATCAATCAGGGGAATCACTGGCTAGTTTGTTTGTGCCCTATTTATTAATTTTCTAAACACTAGAATAGATATAATCCTTTGTAAAGACAATTGCAAAGTGCTGGCATGTTGATGATGAAAGTTAGGACATGACAAGAATGGACACAGAAGGGTTTTTTTTTTTATTCTTATTGTTTTTGTTTTTATCCTTAATAAACTTTTAAACACAAGATATTAATATTTTTAAATATGTTTATAAAAATAATATTTTTTTATATCTCATAAAGTATAAATACGTTTTATAAGATACTTTCATATAGTATGTTATACATAATGTGACATAATATATGAGGAAAAGAAAATATTTTTTAAAGATGCGTTTTCTTTTGTTTTTAATTTAAATTATCAATTTAGAGTTTTAGATTAAAAGTTTTAAATGATTGTTTAGAGTTATTGTTTAAGATATTTTTTTTAAAAAGTGAGAATTTAAAATGTTGGGTTAATTACCTCATTCATATATGTTTCTCAATTTCATAAATAATGTTTAAAAATTTTCGATTTTATACATGGTTATTTTTATCGTTAACGTATTTACTCAGTTCCGTCACAGAAGGTGACGTGGAACCCTGACAAAATGCCATGTTACACTTAAAATTTATTTTTTAAATGCCACATCACCTTCCGTAACGGAAATGGATAAACTCGTTAACGGTAAAAACATTATGTATGAAATCGAAAATTTTTAAACATTATGTATGAAATTGATAAGGGTATAGTTCATGTATAAATATAGTAATTAACCCTAAAATATTTTATTGTGTAAATGAGTAATGATTTAAAATTTGAGGTTCAGTTCTAATATGAATTTATAACGTATTCTACGTATACGAAGAAACGAAATTTTAATAAACATTTGAAATGAAAAAGATTATTATTAAAGGATAATAATTACAGATTATAAGAATCAATAATTATGATTTCAGATTATAAAATATTAAAAGAGAATAATTTTTTTATTACGGCATAAATTTTTATTGTATTCACATAGTTCAAATTATTTAGTCTCCTCTTTTTATGCACAATTCTCAGTCCAACATAATCCACTAATTGCAATAATTATCTAAATATATAATACATAATCACACAAATCTAATTATTAATAACTTTTCATCTTTAAGGTAACAAATATCCGGTCATAACAGACTCCCATAAATAATTAATCTAAACGATCTTAGTGGTAAAAAAATTGTTATAATTCATTGAGATTCCGGATTCGAATACCATAAGTGTTAGGGATGTGAACGTTCAATCTCAAATGGTTGAGAGTTGCCTTTGAACAGTAATACCTTTTAAGGCAGAGAACATATGAAGGGATGTTCCTTACAAACCAGCAACTGTTATGACTAAGCTTTACAACCAGCAAAATAGATGGAATCACACCCAAAGATTAAAATATCTCTACTCTACTCTCTACCTACATTCATGTGTTGAGGCATGGTAGTAATACTTCAATGATAGCTGTTCCAGACATTTATTTTCCAGTAAATATTACTATTATCTAATACATGAAATTTCTGTTTTTGTTGGCAGCTCAGTTTTCGACTTTTTCGGATCCATTAAAATACTCCATGGCAGCTGTTTCAAGCCAAGGACACTAACTTAGAAGCTTACCATGTCCATCAACTGTTGGATGATAACTTCCCATTGAAGTTATGTTGGCCCAACAATGAAATATCTTCGGGAGATAATGTTAGCGCACCGGTACTCAAGTAATGGTGAGCACCTCGTGTCCTGCATAAAAACAATTTGTAACGAAACAAACCTACTGCAAGGGATATGCTGGGCATGAAAATGTAGTAATATTTGCCAGAAATTAATTAGAAATAACAGTACCTCCGTCTTTTTGTCAAGCCCGTGCCTGCTGATAAGCGGGAAGCTTCTGATCTTGAAATGCATCCCAATGAGGAAATATATTCATGGCATGCAACACCCTTCAGTGCCAAGTATAACCTTGAAGGGACTATGGACCTAATGATGTCGAAAAGGCATGACTTCACTTCCCTGTATTGCAAAGCCAAAACTAATTTATGAAACTAAAAATACAGCATTGATGATAAAATTTCGAACGGAATAAATCAAGCAGCAAGGAAGCATACTTTTAACAAGATGGGAGGCAACCAAAACCTGTTTCAGACGGAGAACAGAAGTTAAATGTCAAAATAATACATCTACAGAGTCTTCTATCCAAGGAAATACATTGTTCCATCCTATGAAGCCCACGGAGAAATTGTAAATGATCAATATTGATACATGAAGTATGATTTGGCAAGGTGAAAATGCTCAACTCGTGCAAGAAATAAATCCAAGTGAGGGTTCAGGGAACATGGCAACTCTGTACCTTTTCACTGCAAGCTCACATTTCAAAGGGCTCATTTCCAAACCCTTTCCATCAACTGAAGCACAACTTGCTCTAGCATCATATCCAAGCAATTTACCAAATGCCATTGAACTAGTTGAGGAAGCCAGCATCTCCTGGCTCAAATCCACCCTATGCTCAAAACCTATGTTTGATCCTATAGCATCAATATCTTTAGCATACAAGCAAAATCCATGTTGGGAAACAGTGTCAACTATCTGCAGCTGCTCATCACACCAGCTAAATGCATTTGAGTCCTCAGAAGGGATTGTTACCAGCTCAAAAGAATCCTGAACAATTAGCTATTAGAATTACAGTAACAGGCATAAACTTAATAAGAAATGGTCTCTTGGGAAAAAATATTATTTATCACTTACTTGTATCTGGCACTTGGAAAGCAGTAGGCCAGCTTGTGAAATAAGATCACTCATTCTAGAAGTAAGTTTCAAAATTTCAGTAGTATCTCTTGGCTCCAAGTCAAGATACTTTTTCATATCAGCATGACTGTCACGAAGTTTTTTCCATGACTCTTGCACAGAATCAGTGGTCACACAGTTCCTCAATTTACCCATTGAAAAAGATATTTTGGTGAAATTCATGCGGCTGCATTCATCCATCACTGCATGCCCACTTGATGCAGCGTCATCATACTCATTCTGAGAATTCTCCACCTCTTCATGAGAAGCTTCTGCAGTAATACTGCATGTACCGATATATGAACTTTTACCTGATTTATGTATAAATTTACAAGAGTCGTTCACTTCAACTGGCATCAGGTCCTCAGATAACTCACAACTCACTGAAACTTCTGATGTTTCAGCAAATTATCGTAAGACACAGTTCTAGAAGAAAGCTCCATCCCATTACCGATTTCAGTCTCAGGAACAAAGGATGACTCGGGAACATATGATACATCCATAGATTTGCAAGTTCCCATTTCAAAATCATTTGATGTTTCTGAGCAGTGGAAGCCGCTGTCCACACATTTCTCTGTTTCAGAACAAAGTAGCTTATCTCTTGATGGACTTATGCTATTCTGAAAGTTTGGACGAGGTGAGATAAGTCTGAAATCTTCTTTAATGAATAATTCACGGCTGACATTCTTTTCTGGAACTAAAGAAGCCTGTATATTAAATTGCTCATTTTCAGAGTCGGAAGACATGACAACATTAGGTTTATGCTTAGGAACTCTTCGAGCAAAAGAAACTGGGGTGCCTGAAGAATTGTACAAGTTGTGTACAGCACAAGAAGGGTTTATGGCTTCATTGCAATCATAAATAGAGAGATTCCTGCTTAACATTACTTCCTTCTTTGCCTCTATGCTGTCTATCTCTTTATCAAGCATCTCCAAGCCATTTGACATGTTGTTTTCAAGTTCTTCCTCTATCACCTCCATTAAAGTTGACTCGTCTTCAATTATGGATACTGTCTTAGTAATTTCCTTCTCAATGAACTCTGATAACTGAGATGGTAAATCCCAAGGGATAATAGTCGGTAGTACTGAATGACACACCTCTATATCAAACGGCTGCAAGCCATAAGTCTTCTGCAGTTTCCTATCTGGATAACCCAATGGGTGTTAAAATAAAGTATAAATACATGATAACATGTTCTTTGCAAGAAAGACTAAACTGGCAAGGAACTCAAGAACATATACTGAAATTGGAAATCACACCCTTGAAAAGACCCTTTATGATTTTCTCAAGCTTAAAATAAGTATTACAAATTGGACCATGTTAAAAATAATCCTATCAGTTCCTCAAGACCAAAGTCACGTAACTTCAGAAAGTCATAGAAATAACAAAACACCTTTACAAAAACTATGACATGGCAAAACCTTATATGTAATTTAGCGCTCTCTCTTTCATTATATTTCTTATCCAAAGATACACAGCTGAAACAACAATGCAAACTAAAGCAAAAATCCAATCATCAATGAAAAAGTATAAATGCAAACAATATTGAGAGCAACATGGTAAGGTTCAACTACATAAGATGCAAGCTGCCCACTGTTTTTCTTGAAAGCATTCACAATATGCAATTCACGATTTTGTAACGAAATATGGTACAAGTGTAAGATCTTTCAAACCAGTGGCAGAGGATGCCACGCACCTTTTCCCTACAGAAAAAACGAACATCACATCTCTCCGTCACTAGAAAACTGTCTGACAATATCCAAGAACAGACATCGACACTAGAGCAAACCACAACCTTCGTTAATAGTAACCCTCAACCATAAGTCCATAATCACAAAGGCTGACCAGAAGTTTTCTAGTGCACTTATTTTAGAGACAATGACATTTATACTTGAATTAAATCTTGTGTATACATCATCATACACCACAAAAACAGTTAAATAGGGTTTCTATTCCCACATGTATCAGGGAACTATTGAGATTACTGAAATCAAAGTGCATATGTATTTATAGATGGCCAATCTTTTCTTCGAATGATTCTTGATCATGCACAAGAACATACATGCAATGATGCAAATCAATTTTATTACACTTACTTGCATATTGACTTGTCAAAATTTGCAAAGGCGTTGACAGATTTAAACCATCTCGAGGAACATATTGAATATTAAAGCTTTTTAATTTGTAATTCTAGCATTTTCCATAATCTCTTCTAAAAGCATTTTATCCTACCTA